AGCTGGTGGGTTGGCCCGTCGCTCCTTCAGAGCCCAGGGAGCCGCGCCCGTGCCTACTTGCGCAGGGCCTACAGAATGCACCTGTGCCGCAGGTATCGCAGTGCACCCCACTTGCTGGCTGCCCCTGTACGAAGTGAGCCCCGCACGTGGCGCAGGCATCCCGGTTGGTCGTGCCCAACCGGGAGCACCCCCTTTCCCTCCTCGAGCGCGCCCTCCCTGGGCTCGGGAATGGGAGGGGGAAGCTCTTGTCTGGACCCCATATCCATATGACCTGAGCGGGTCCCACTGCATCCCTCCAGCCTCACCAGAGCCTCGGGAGAATCCCCTTCCCGAGGGTGGCCCCAGGACAATGCTCAGAACATTACCACCAGGTCACAGGGTCAGGTGGTTTTACCACAAGAAGAGGTGGACGCATCCAGGGGAGCGCAGAGTTCTCTGCCCGCTGCCAGGGCGCCTAATGGCCCCTCTTGAGAACATCCCCAAGTCTTGATTTCCCATTTTTGACCAACAAATGTGTAAGCAGAACAAGTTCTCTCCTGTAGGAACGCCAACAACGTAACATGGTGACAAATGGCTTTGACACACAGCTTCAGTGTCCAGGGCTCTGAGACACCAGGGCCCCTGGGAACAGTCCCACCTAAAGTACCCCCCCACCCCCCATGGCGGTCATGGGGGGGCTCAGAGTGGTGCCCTGGCCTCAGATCAGGGCCCGGTCCTGGGGAGGGGAGCAGCCTCCTCCTGTTCACAGATGGAGAACAGAGATGGTGTGGTGACCTGTCCAAAGCCACAGGGCCTGGCCCGCGTTAGCAGTTGGATGGGCGGGCGGCCCCTTGCTGGTTTTTGGACCCTCTCAGATACAATGAGCTGCCTCCATGAAGCCACGCAACTGAGTTGTGAATAAAAGGGAGGGAAACCCGCCAGGGCTCTGGGAGTGCCGGCAGGCCACCCGTGGGCACAGCAGCCTCTACCCAGGGCTGTCCGCGGTCTCAGGCACCTTCCAGTGGATCTTGGGAAACAGGAGAAAGCGCCAAGAAGTTTGTAGGTCTTCCATGTGCAGTTAGCCCAGCAGCATGGCTCGGTATGTAGGGAGCAGCAGCCGCGGCTTCTTGCTGCGGAGAGCAGGGGCTTCCTTTCGAGAGCGAGCCTCGGGCTCACAGGCCACTCTTCCCTGTGGGCCTACCAGGCACCCCAGGGTTTTGCTGCCAACAAACAAAGCAGCAGCAGTCGTTGCACCATCCCATCTCCCCAGGATGTTTTCAGAGGGATGTCCCCGCTGGGACTGGAAGGGTGGTCCCCGTTCTCCTGCCCAAGCCCTCTGCCCTCCGATGCTGAGCTCGTGCTGCTGTCTTCGTGGCCCCCCTCTCGGACCCCGCAGTGTTCTGCTGTACTTCAGTTTCTCAATAGTTGTTCTCATTTCTCTAACTCGATTGCAGTCTTTTCTCACTAGCTTTTGTTTCGAGTGCGGCCTAACTATTCTTCACTCCTTGAAAACAGGTCCTCAAGAGGTGGGTGTTAGGCAGATGTGGGAGATACTAGCCACACTTACGGTGGGACCTAGGGGAGGGATCTCTTCATGTCACCTCTCTGAGCCTTACTCTCCTCAACTTTAAAATGGGCTTAATAGAATGAAGGTGGAGTCTCATAAATTATGTTGGGGCAACGTGGTAATCATTCAGAAAAAGATGAAGTTAGGTCCACAGTTTATCCACACCATACAGCAGTGTTATACGTTTTCAGTTAATTCAAAGGCTTAACATTCTTAGAAAGAAACTATTAACTAAAAAGTTCTGCAAATGGATAGCAGTGAGGGCTGCACAATAACGTGAGCATACTTACTGCCACTGAACTACACACTTAAAAATGGTTAAAATGGGGTCGGCCGAGTGGCACGTTGGTTAAGAACTGGCTTGGGACGCCAGAGGGCCCCAGTTCGGATCCCACATATGAGGGCCAGTGACACTGCCCTCCACAGCTAAGATGCTGTACAACAGCTCAACCTGGAGCTGGGCTGCTGTGAGTCGCCAGCGCCGGCAAAGGTGTAGGCTGCAACCACTGCTGCA